AACCAATTAATTACTATTAATTGATTATTAAAATAATCTCCAACTAATTTAATGGATTAATCGCTAACTGGAGTATAGAGACAGTAAAACATTTCAGTAGCCGACAGAGTAACCTACTTGGAGCACTGCTTATACCAAAATTGTAAGAAAAAAAAAAACGTATGTTAAGATTTTTGCACTTAAGATAAAGAGCATTTTGTCTGTCAGTACGCTCTCTCTATAAAACTCAAGTGGAAAAGTTTAAAATTTTGTTTTTTTAAGATTTTGTAAAAGGTCTTCTTTAAGGGTCCTTTTGCTGTCTGATCATTAATCTTTTCAATGAAAAAATAAACAACAGATTAATCGATTTGCAAAATAATCATTAGCTGCAGCCATAATTTACTTCTATGTAATAATAATAATAATAATAATAATAATACATTTTATTTAAAAAGGCGCCTTTCTGGACACTCAAGGTCACCGTACAAAAGCATAAAAATTGTGTCAGAAAAAATAAAAATAAAAACATTTAAAAAATACAGAGGCTGTGACAGTGAAATTGATATTTAAAGAGAATAAGCAATCTTGAATAAGTAATATTTACTTCTCAAACCCTATGATGGTATAAATAGAAGACTATAATTGCATCTCTGCTTCGGTTAAACACCCCCCTCCAGCTCTGCACAGCCATCATCGCCACATGCCCAAACCCCTCCCCTCCTGAAGCTCAAACACAAACGTTTCTAAGCTGATCGGTTCTGGTTTTCTTCCTGTTTTGCAGACACTGTTTATTTTCACCTGCCGCCTCTCAGTGGAGACATGAAGTGTGTCTATGGGGTGTCCTGTTATCGTCAGATAGAAGCAAAGGTTGGTGAAAGCAGAACATTTGATTTTAATGTGATGCAAATGGCATCAGAAACCAGGAGAATGAAGAAGTCAGCAGTTCTGCTTGTGGTTTGAACTCCTCTGCAGGATTGAGTTCTTATTCTCCAGCAATCTCCAATGATCTATATGATGCACATTGATGCAAACAGCTCAATTTCCTGCGTGTTGTTTGTTTTCTTTCTGCCATTCATCATGGATTGTCATTTCGGATCTTATTTCAGGCCCTGAAAGTCCGACAGGCTGACGTCACCAGAGAGACGGTTCAGAAGAGCGTCTGTGTCCTCAGTCGAGTGGTGAGTCACGCCTCGCTTCAGGCGGTCATCATCGCTCTGACACAATAAGCCTCGATTCGGCAGGAAATCAGACTGTGGGAGTTTAAAGCAATACGTTCAGCACACGATCCTGAAGAAGGAAAAGTAAAAACAGGGATTAGAGTTTCTACATGCGGGGAAACGTCAACCTGGGACTAAATAGTAATTATAAAAAAGTATTCCCAGGTTTTATTTTTTCATTATTGTCTAACATAGATAATAATACTGGGCAACTTTTTTTTTTTTGAATAAAATAACCTTTTTCCATTGAGCATCCAAACATTTTTCTGTTTTTCTATTCTTTGATTAGTCCATACTTCTGTCCTTCCTTCCATACTTTTATTCATCTACACATTCAGTCATCCATCTATCCAAGCGAATATAGAATACATTTTCTATATTAGATATTTCTTTAATCTTTGAAAATAAAACCAAAAAAGATCAAAATAAATACTCAGTTTGTAAGGCTTTTTTTTTTTTTTTTTTACATTTTACTATGAACCCTGTGAGTTTGAGGGCATTTTGTTTATTTTATTGCCCCTTTCACTTATCAGGAACAAATCAGGCTGAAATGATTTTAATAAGGGTGTCACATTTGCTTAGGATGCTAACTCTGACCTTATTTGGCCCACTGATGGTGCTCAGAGGGCCCAGCAGTCTTATGTGTCTTCACTGTTTGAAGACATGTTATTCCTGGAAGCTGCTGCTGATGATCAGCTGTTTATAATCTGTAAATTTCATTAGCTAGCAGGAAACGTCGTGATTCACAAACAGGGAGAACCATCTGTCTTCTGTATTTCATAGGTCGTCATGGTTTATCTGAATCACACAGACTGATGCTGACATCGTTCTTTTTTCTTTGTTTTCAGCCTCTCTACGGTTTACTTCAAGCCAAGTTGCAGCTCATCACACACGCCTACTTTGAGGAGAAAGACTTCTCACAGATCTCAATCCTGAAGGTTGATTTAAAGGCCTGATGTTTAACTGAGATTCACTTCCTGTTTCCTGTTGTAATCACTTATGGCTTCCTGTGCAGGAGCTGTACGAGCACATGAACGGCTCCCTCAGAGGCTCCTCTCTGGAGGGATCTCAGGTTTATCTAGGTACCACCAGCCTCCATTAACACATCAAACGTGTCTAAGGTTGTTATTTGAGGGAAACTTTGTTTTCTCCCCTTAGGTTTATCACCAAGGGATCTTATCTTACACTTCCAACACAAGGTTGGAAAAGACAGATTAATAAGAGGTCAAATATCTTATTTATTCTAAGAAATTTTTAAACATTTTTCTGTTTTATGACTTTTTAGGTTCTCATCCTCTTCAAGCTCATTCTGTTGGAGAAAAAGGTGAGAGTCCAGCCTGAAAATAAAATCTCATCCCTATAGTGGCCTGGGTTTCCACATGTAATCCCACACATTGTGTCTCTGCAGGTCCTGTTCTATGTGTCTCCTGTAAACAGACTGGTGGGAGCCCTGATGACGGTTCTGTCACTTTTTCCAGGTCAGTAACTTCCACTCCAGTTGAATTATGGGGTTTTAAATCACTGCAAGGAGAGTTTGCTCTAGTTCAACAAAGGAGACAGCTTGATCTTCCTGGTTCTTTGAGTTTGATTATTTCATATTCAAGCCACTTTTAAACATGGAAAAGACAGGAAAACACACAGTTTTAGCTGCTGATCTTCATAAGTCAGGAAGAAATTAGCTTCATATTCTAAAGTAACTGGGTCTACCATCAG